ATGATCGGCACGGGGGAAGGAGGCCCTCATCCAGCAATGGATCGCCGCGGGTCTGCAATTAAACGAACGTGATTGTTATTAAGTTGTTGTGCGGTTAGCTCAATGTAAGTGGTGCTCGGTGTCTCCGAGACTAACATAGGATGGAACAATTGAGCTCTTGTAGTGTCAAACCGTGACGAACATAGGCCCGGTGTGTCCATACGCGAGCTGCGGTGCATGCGACGATGCAGGTCAAGTCTTTAAGAAGCCGCGCGCGGAGTGAGCTTTCACGTATACGCGCAACGTCCAGTTCGAGTTGCAGATTAAGATTACACCTCGGCACAACTTTATATATATCCAGGTCAGCCTCGCCAAGGTTCAAGACTCGTAGTGCAGGAGGGTCCTGCTACACGGGGCATGTCTTGGCCAATTCCGTTGCTGAAGTTTGGCTACCGCGTGGTTGGTGATTGGGAGATTCCGGAGAAAGCTAACGCCACGGCGATGGGAATTGCGAGGTTCATCCGTTAGGGGATGGTTCACAAAACCCGCTTGCTGTACGGACATCATGTGACCTGCTCCTCCTTCAGCAGCAGGCGACACTGGGTTTGCCTCTCCGCTCAAACACGGCTAAAGTCGCACGCCGACCGCGCCTGATGATTGGTGAAACACGGCACCTGTGACGTGGAGAGCGCCGATTCGCGTTAAGGAAGACCATTATCTGAATCGATTCTGGGCCTCCCCTAGGTCGACTCAGCCTCAAATGAGTACCTGGTGCGATGTGTAAAACATCACCACTAGGGATACAAAGGCGGCCGGGCGTGGTGTTGGCCACCCACCCCCTCGTGTGCCGTGCCGGCCTTCATAGGTGCTACTCGCCAACAGCACTTACCCCAACAGCCTGCGCAAGGCTACACGGGGTGGCTGGGGGAGATCTTTGTCCTTATTCCACATGATGTAACGTCACAGGGGAAGTGTTTACCAATCATCGGGCAAGTGCAGTGTGTGTACAGCGGATACGTTTGCCTGACAACAAAGCTTGGCAAACTTGTAAAGGTGGACGGCGGTGGGTTGGTGAGGATCTGAAGTGTGGACGGGACGGCCTCCTTGATGCAGAGGCGTTCCTTCCACGCTCATTCGCGCATCGTCGTCATCATCGTCATCGCTGCCATTGTAATCATCATAATCGTCGTATCATCGTCGTCATCGTCATCGACGTTGTAATTGTCAGCGCCGCCGTTGTAATCGTCATAATCATCGTATCATCGTCGTCATCATCGTTGCCACCATAGTCATCATCGTCATCATCATCGTCATCGCCGCCGTTGTAATCCTCATAATCATCGTATCATCGTCGTCATCATCGTTGCCACCGTAGTCATCATCGTCGTCATCATCGCCATCGCCGCCATTGTAATCGTCATAATCATCGTATCATCATCGTCATCATCGTCGTCATCATCGTCATCATCATTGTCATCGTCGTGACACGAAGTGTCAACAAGTGAACGTGAGGCCTACTGAAGGCTCTTGTAGAAACGTGGTCCATTACCCCGCTCCCCGTTAGCACGACCTGCATTCGCATGGCTGTATAAAGTCAACTTCCCAACCCTAATTTATTACTTATGTATTTTTTATATCTTCGTATTCTTCGACATCACTTAATCACCTATTTACATTCTCACTGTATTTATACCCCGACTCTCGTACCAATGAAAATATCGCCGTGATTTTTGTTTAGGTTTTTTTTGTGTAACCGCAGCGCGAACGGAGGGCGATTGAATAACCGCGGTCGCGCGGTGCCTTGAAAGTGGAACAATATAATGGGCGACGTTTCGGGACACGGGCCTACTTCATGGCCAAATGCCGTTCCATTAAGGCCAGACGAGGGCGGCGGTTTCTTCTTACGAACGCTTCTCGTGCGCCGTGAAGAAGGTCCGTTGACCGAAACGTTGCCCGTTGACATTTTCTGCTTTGTTTGTTTCGAGTTTCGTGCTGTGTTCGGGCACCACCACGTGACTGGACCGCTTTTGCAGGCTGGGCATGCCACTCAATAAAGTGAGCCTCTTGGTAAACGCCGATGGACCCCGTCAGTGCGATTGATTCTGCACCCTGCGACTGCGTTTGCTGATCTCCCGCGCCGACAAACAGTGCCGGATTATCCCAGTGGCAAAAGTGGCTACAAATGTAGCTACGGGCCACGCGCTAAACGCTTTCAAGCCATCAATTCCGGTTCAGCGATTCTGCACCTGCTCTATTACTATAGTACTATACCGCCTTCAACTTTTATGAACGACCGGGTGTTTAAGGTTAGCGATTTGTCGTATTATTTGGCTGTATGGCAAATGAAAAATACAATTACTTTACTATGCAAGCTAAAAATGCGTGTGTTTTTAATGTTTTTAAAATGTAGGGCCCCTTTATAACTTGCCACAGGCCCCGCACTCGCTTCATCCGGCCTCACGGTCCGCTAACTTCAAGGTTGTAACGTATTCATCATGTTTGTTATTATCTAAATTTATTTTGGCTGATGGCGATTTTGGCGACATGGTTATGAAGAAATAAACTTGTAAATTAATGCACGTCAGTATTGCGTTTAACCAACTGTCCATTTTAGCGAGGTGTATCCCAACTCCTAGCGGAGGTAATTGCAAGCGAATTAAATACAATTAAACGGACACTTCGTGTGTGATGTAATTTGTTTAGCTCGCTGGTTACTCTCGGAAACCGCGCTGTTGACGGCCAATGATTTAGAACGGTCATTTATATCGTTCTAGGCTACGATGTGGATTGAAATGTTCTCGTAGTTACTGCATTAACCACACATCGTCACACTTGTGGCAAAACAAGCACGCTCTGATCATACTCATATCCGCAATTGTGTTGGAAACGGAATGGCCTACATCTGGAGACGACCTTTATTCCGTTAGCTGTTAGGGCGTTGCGATTTAAAGAGGCTTCAAAGTCGCGCGCGAACAGTTTGTACCGCCTGAAAACATTTGTGAAGCCAGCCAAAGAAAAAAAAAACTACAAAAAAATATACTAAAGATTTCCCGCCAGATATTTTTCGTACCCAAGTTTAACTTTTTTTCGGACCGTACCGAGCAGAGATTCCCAGGGCCCCACGTACCCCCCCCCCCCCCCCGCTCGAGAACCACTGGTGTAGTGTATAGTGTAGTGTATAGTGTATAGTAGTGTATAGTGTAGTGTATAGTGTAGTGTATAGTGTAGTGTATAGTGTAGTGTATAGTGTAGTATATAGTGTATAGTGTAGTGTATAGTGTAGTGTAGTGTATAGTGTAGTGTATAGTAGTGTATAGTGTAGTGTATAGTGTAGTGTATTGTAGTGTATAGTAGTGTATAGTGTAGTGTATAGTGTAGTGTATAGTGTAGTGTGTCGTGTATAGTGTAGTGTATAGTAGTGTATAGTGTAGTGTATAGTGTATAGCGTAGCGTGTAGTGTATAGCATAGCGTGTAGTGTAGTGTATAGCGTAGCATCTAGTGTAGTGTATAACGTAGCGTGTAGTGTATAGCGTAGCGTGTAGTGTATAGCGTGCAGTGTAGTGTATAGTGTAGTGTATAGTGTAGTGTGTGAGTGTCGTGTATAGAGTGCAGTGTAGTGTATTGTGTAGCATGTAGTGTAGTGTAAAGTGTAGCATGTAGTGTAGTGTATAGCGTCCCGTGTAGTGTATAGCGTAGCGTGTAGTGTAGCATGTAGCGTGTAGTGTGTAAAGTGTAGCATGTAGTATAGTGTCGTGTATAGCGTAGCGTGTAGTATAGTGTGTAGTGTAGCATGTAGTGTTGCATGTAGTGTATAGCGTAGCATGTAATGTAGCGTGTAGTGTATAGCGTAGCGTGTAGTGTAAAGTGTACCATGTAGTGTAGTGTATAGTGTATAGCGTAGCGTGTAGTGTATAGCGTGCAGTGTAGCGTGTAGTGTATAGTGTAGTGTATAGTGTAGTGTATAGCGTAGTGTGTAGTGTATAGTGTAACGTGTGGTGTGTAGCGTAGCGTGTTGTGTATAGTGTAGCGTGTAGTGTATAGCGTGCAGTGTAGCGTGTAGTGTATAGTGTAGCGTGTAGTCTATAGTGTAGCGTATAACGTAGCGTGTAGTGTATAGTGTATATACAACATCCCCGGACGGCTGTCGGCGAGCCGATTGAGAGGAGGAATGAACCTGGAGATTGTCGGGGGTTGCCGGAACAGACACGGACAGCGAAGGGCCCTCACCCCCACACCCCCAACACAACACAGGAGTCAAACATCGTCGCTGGATGGGCATGGGCTTCTTCTCGTAGCGCCTTCGGCCGATGCTTTCCGGGCAAGGCGACGGGGCAGTTTTAACCTCACGAAAACTTTTGTTTGATGCAAGCCAACAAAAAGAAAACTACTCAATTTAAAACCAAAAACTTTTAAACAAAAGATAATCACCGCAGTTATTTTGTACGCGAGTATTGAACTTCCTGTCGCACCGTCCTAGATCGGAATGTTGCTTTTTAATGTAAAATTTGGAAATGCGTTGGCGAAATCCTTGGTGAAAAGCGCGATTTGAAGGGAATCCTTGTTTAATGCAAGTTGCGTCGTTATGCCCATCAGGTGAACTTGTCCGTTATAAATGGAAGTGAAATCACCCGTTGATTCTTTCCCCAACACCTCCATCAAAAAAACACTGTGTATGGCCTTTAAAGTAAATATAGTACAGGCGACGTTTCGGTAATGGTCCTTCCTCGCAGCCCATAAATATGCCGACGAATGAGACACCAACTGCAGGCAGCAGCCACAACTCCCGACAGCTTCCCCACTGCTAACGCACTCGGTCTTTCCCCGCTCACCAATTCGCCAACGCCCACGCCCCCTCATTCCAACGCAGATCGAGCACGTGCCACGCGCTCCACGCCGGATGATTGTTACACACGTGCCACGTGACGCGAGGGGTTCTTTTTGGGAGCGCCCCACCGAGTCTCTGAACCGAGAGACGATTTCAATGCGCGCCGTTTGAACAAAGTTCCCACACACACGCCTGTGTGTTTATTGTTATGTTTTATTATATTGTATCGTGTCCCGCTGGGAGATCTGACAGGACGTTTCGGTTTGTTGAAAACCCATGGCTTTGAACCATCAACAGGGAGAGGGTGGCGATGCGCGAAAACCCATCGGGTCATCTCAAACCGACTTTGGCGACTTCAACCTGGCATCTGACCCGTCACGTAACAACAATAATAATATAGCTATGCGTATTGCATTGTATTATATTTTTTGATTACCAATAATAAAAACAATGTTCTAGTGCAATGCGAAGGATTAGGCTTGGTAGTAAAATGGCGACAATGGCGGTGACCATTACCGCTAAAATTTACAAGCGATTTTAAAACTGTTGCAATATTATTAATAATAAAAAAGCACGTACACACGCGAATGCACTTGCGTGTCAAAACAAGCGAGCGGCCGTCTTTAAAACAGTAAAACACAGAATCCTCCCCGGTCCAAATACAAAACGGACCCTCAACGACAGACCAGGTGGAGTGGATTGTCCATCACCGCTCTGTCCCATCATGTCCACGACGCTCCCAGCCGCCCCCCCCCCCCCTCCTCTCTCTGTGCCACAAGTTGGAACGATGTCGCTGACGCAGGGGGGGGGGGGACATGCAACGTGGCATTGAGGAACGAGTGAAAGCAGCGATAAGAGGGGGTTGCTTGGGGGATCACGAAAATGGATTACGTGGGGAGGGTCGGGAAGGGGCGATGGAGAAGATGTTGAGGCTTTAAGAGAGGAACGGAAAGAGGTTAAGGAGGCGGGGAGCTGCCTAATGTAGAAGGGGAAGTTTACTCTTACGCACAATTTTATAATTGTTGTAAAGCGCCTTGGAATAAGGCGCCACATGAACCTACATAAGGTGATACAAATACAAACGACAAAGTGTGAGAACAGTTTGAATTAAAACGCAATTCCATAAAAACAACCAAGACACATTTCCCGCTTTGTCAAGTCCTTCCAGCAGTGCGTAGTGGCAGTCCCGGTTTAAATCCACCTTTGCGATCGACCAATCACAAGGTGGCCAATCTTTCGCCGGGAACACTCGACGATCCGATCCCCACCAATCGCGAGCGAGGGGCGAGGCGGCGGCCGGCCATTCCGCGGAACACCGGGAAACCGAAATCGCGGAGAGGCTCCGAGATCTCGCGAGCGTACACCGGTCCCGGCTCGCGACGATCATCAGAGTCCCGGATGAGCCCGGTCCACGTGGGAAACCGGGTTCCAGAGCCCCTGACGAGTGAGGAGCGACCGACAGATTGAACCGGGACGGACACGTACGACGTGCGGAACAGGCGCGGGTTATTAATCCGCGAGTCCGATAATAATCCGCCCCAAGGTTCAATCCGTGTGATCTGCACAGACACAATTGCAGGTATCCCTCGGTTCACGAAAGGGACGAGCGTCCTTCGAAAATCACGAGCAACACGAAATGTCGCAGAATGGCTTTTCCCGTTAATTTAATACAAGAACATTCGGAATGTGTTTGGACTCCTAACCTGAAAATATACACCACCTCTATCACGTTGCACAATCCGAAAATAGTAATAAAGAACGTTGAAATTAAATCAATCGAATCACAATTTAATTTAAAACTATAACCATTCGCCTTTTCAGGGAACTCGCCAAAAGATCTGCTGTACGTTGGAGTGACCGCAGAGGCGATGCGGAGGCGTCACTGTTGCACTGCAGGGACTCTGTGACGCTCTATCCGATGGATAACGATGCAGCCTCCCCGCGGAGCGCTTCACGCGTTTGATGATCTCACTGTGCCCTGCGGCGTGGCGTCGTGAGATTTCGCCCGCGCGGGAATTCAATTTCGTTCATCAAAAGGCGTCCATAATTTGTCAACTGCTTTCAAGCGGAATTTCGTAAACCAAACGTTCGTTAATCGAGAGATACCTTTAAAATAAGATTGCGGCCGAAACCACAGACTACGATTTTAAAAGTATATTTTTTCTCTTCCCACAGAAGGAGCTTCGGTTGAGCTCATGCCAAGTCAGCTCCAGGCTAAGTGGAGCCGGGTTATGTGGGCTTCCGAGCTGTTTTCGTCGATTTTGCATCGATTCTTTTACAAAAAGGTGGTCTCTCAATCTTGTCTTGGCAGCTTTAATAAAAAAAAAATCACAATATAAAAATGGGACGAGCTAAAAAAAATTGTAAACACCTCCCGCTGATCGTCGGCGATAACTCGGAGATGCCCCTGTAAAAATGGCGGCCGCCAAATAACCGCCACCCTCCGAAGGCGGGAAACCCCCCCCCGTTACGAGGTCGCCGATAACATCACCCAGACCCGACCTGTCACCTCCCGTCCAGCGGCACCGGTGGTAACGGGGGGGGGGGGGGGGGGGGGGAGGTTGAGTGAACGGTAATGAAACTCCGACCTTGGCGATTCCACGAATTGTCGCGCCTCTTTAACCCATTCTCTGAAAACACGAATGGTCACGTGAACGCAGTGGCCCTCTCGTGTCTGGAGGGGTCGACGTGAAGCGACGCGCACGAATCCGACTCTCCGACTCTTGCACAACGCGACCTTAGTAACAGTAGGAGTAATAGTAATAATAACGACCGAAGCATCTTTACACACACGGCATCGTTACGCCCGCGGAGAGAATTGTGGCCGTAATCCCCGCTCGAGTTTGTGAAAGTGGCAGCCGCAGTAACGTTTGTGGCATCTGCGCGTCGTGCAGACGCGCGAGCCGAATATTGCAGAGCAATTGGTCCCGTGAATACGTCAGCATGAGTGGACTAATCATCATATCTATTTATACTGTATATAATCGACTCGGCAGGTAATGATACATTCCTCCGTTAATAAATTAGCCTCCCGAGCCGCTAATTAACTCACCGAACCGAGTTCATCACTTAACCACGTTAATTTGACCTACAATCACTCTGTCCTATGATACAGCACCGCGCACTGCCTCGCTAACGACACTCGGCCCGACAGCCTCCGGAGGCGACGAGTCGTCTCCTCGTCTTCGTACAACGGTGCCCAGGGCAGCGAGGAGCGGCAGGCGGCTGCAACTCGTCGCAAGTCCATCCCAGGCAGCGTCTGTGTCCCATCGCCTCCCAGAATGCATCGCGGCATCCCCGAATGGATTATTCAACCGCCCTGGGCGATCCCGTGACGCGTCCGCTCGCGGGGTTCGTCCCAGAATGCACCGCGGCTCACAGGTTGCGCAGCCGTGCCAGCAGGGAGTCGGCGTTCCCGACCGGATCGGCGCGCTTGGGCCCCGGATCGGCCTTGCGATTGTGACGAGCGGACGGATCCGCATTCGATGCCGGAGTCCGCGCGGCGTGAGTCCGATCCTGGGTTTTCTGACCGCCCTTCGGCGTCGTCTTCGTTGCTGAGGACACAAAAAAATGTTGGTGACACGGGAGGGATGGTCGCGTGAAGAGGCCATCACGAGTTCGACGGTTTCACAGAACAGGCTGCGGCAGTTAGCCAACCTGAAGCCTCGCTAGTTAAAATTAAAATCAAGTTAAAATAACAGTTTAAACGGTGTATTTTTTTTGTACCAGGTGACCGCAATTTAAGTCGATTATTTCTTGAGTAATTTTGGCTTCTTGAATCGACGCGGATCAAATAAGATTTTTGTTCCTGGGTATAAAGTGTTATTTTCTAATTGCTTATGCCTCAAAAGAAAATGGATATTATAATTCCCCACAAACTTTGCTTGTGTGACACGAGCAATGCTGAGAGCGCTAACGGGCAGATACCATTGGCTGCCGCTTTCTCCGTTGCTTGCTTCTTTGCACCAATCGGAGCGCAGTTCTCATCTCCTGCAACGAGTCACGGAACAAATATTAATATGACTCGCGAGCGAGCGAGCGAGAGAGAGAGAGAGAGGTGAGAGCACGGCGGCCACGGAGATGGAGCGACCGAATCGGCTCGGTGGGCCCTGACCTGGTAAAATAAAAACAGTGTAGTCTTTAATAGTTTTGTTTAAATAAAAACTCCCGTCGAACATTTCCGCGATGAACGTCGCTAACAAAAGTAACACCGGTAATGGCGTCGTCGCCTTCATCGGCGATCGCCGACAGTCCGCGCCCCCCGTGCGCTGCGTGCCCCCCCCCCGTACTCCCCGTGCCCCCCCCCCGTACTCCCCGTGCCCCCCCATGCTCTGCCCGTGAGCTCCGTGCCCCCCATGCCCCCTCTGTATTCTCAGTGCTCAATGTGCCCCCCATGCGCTCCCCGTGCGCTCCGTGCGCTGTGCCCCCCCGTGCCCCTCTGTGCACCACCATACCCCCCATGTCTCCCGTGCCCACCGTGCCCACCGTGCCCCACCGTGCCCCACCATGCCCACCGTGCCCACCGTGCCCCCCCGTGCCCCACCGTGCCCCACCGTGCCCCCCCGTGCCCACCGTGCCCACCGTGCCCCACCGTGCCCACCGTGCCCCACCGTGCCCACCGTGCCCCACCGTGCCCCCCCGTGCCCCACCGTGCCCCCCCGTGCCCCCCCGTCCCCCCCCGTGCCCCCCCGTGCCCACCGTGCCCCCCCCCGTGCCACCGGTGCTCCAACGCAGCGGTACCTGTCTGGGGGGGGCTCCGCTTGCGCCGCTCGCGGAAGGCAGCGCCGGACTGCAGCGCCTCCAGCAGCGTGTCCATGACTCCCGTCTCACCACCCTCTGAGACGCCGGGGGGGGGGGGTCAGAGAGAGACATGGGGGACCCACGGAGACACGAAGACAGGGAAAGCGGGACATGGGGATGTGAGGACACGGACACGCACAGATATTGAGAAACGTGAGCACACCACCAAGGGTGTTCCAAGATGGCAACCACACAGCTCAGCGATGCCGGCTCAGTGTCTCCGAGATGGCCATCGTGAAACCTGTGGGAGAAGGCGAGACTCCAAGTCACGGTGGAGATCGGTGAAGCACAACACGGCCATCGCGAACCTCCTGCGGTGCCCAGCGTGCCACATCCAGACGCAGGATGTCACCGGCGCCGTGACCGTGACCCAGCCGTTATGAACCCCACGAGACTAAGATCCTCAGGAGAGTCTTCGACAGACTGTTGCTGTGCTGCCCGCGAGCAGTGCCCGTGAAGGCCGACATTGTGGCACACGAGGGTGGTGGGTGGCCAGCGCCTTTGTCTCCCGAGTGGCGATGTTCACACACCGCACCAGGGCACTCATCGGAGGCTGAGCCGACCTAGGGGAGGCCCATGACCGGTTCAGACAATCGTCATTGGTGTTGGTGACCGTGAGCAGCCCGCTACTCGCTACACTACCGCTCCTCCAGACACACGGGTGCTGCCTGTCACACAGACAACACACGCACAGCCAAGGCTCAGGACTTGAACCCCGGGCTCCCTCCGACATGACCTTCACACAAGGACCTCAGAACCCTCAACCCCAACTGCCTCCGTAACCCCCCCCCCCCACCCCCGCCTCAGCTTCAGACCCAGAAACTCGGCGTTGCCGGCTCAAACTCTGCGACACGCCAATGATTAAACTCCCCGAGGCGTGTCCACACCGACGGCCATGCGCTCCGTGCCACTGCCGTTCGAGGGGCTAGTCCGAGCCGTACTTCGCCGCCCTCGTCACCGTGGGAGGGCAGGTGAACGCCGTCGGGCGCACGACGCGGGAGCGTAGAAGTACGACAGCGCGACGATGGGTTCTGCCGCACCGCCCTCCGTGAGTGGCCCATCCAAGCCCTGTCCGGGCTCAACCCCGCTTAGCCTACGCATTGTCAGCGGTTCCCAGCGACGGACTGGGGGACGATACAAATCGGCGCGGGCCGTTCGTTTTCAAATTGCCGAGCTATCCTCACCGGGCCCCGATTTGGGGCTGGGTCCAAACAAAAAAACCAAAACGGGTCGCCGGTGAGGAAGAATCTTTGGGCGCTGCCGAATATCGGGGGCTTAATGCCAACCGAGAGCGTAAATAAGCGATCACTCAATCACGTCTTCATTTCTCTAGCGCTGTGTCGTGCAAAAGATGCAATTCCAAGTGAAGCGCGGCACATCGGAGGCAATCAAAATATCTGAAGTAATCTCGCCGTTGCTATTTAAGGAACCTCCGATCGCACCTGCAATTTTCCCCACACAGACCGGCCCACCGGGCCCAGCTTTTGGCGCTCGCCCTCCGGCCCAGTCCGGGGCCCTGGGCCGCTCCGGCCGAGCGCCGCGTCGCGCCCGTCGCTCACGTCGGCGCTGCGTACCGGGCCGCTCGATGTCCGCCAGGTGCTTGCGCCGCTGCCGGCGCTCCGAGCGCTCCTTCTCCGCCGCCTCCTTGGCGATGCGGGCCCGCCGGACCTTCTCCTCCGTCTCGCGCCGCTTGGCGTTGTCGCGAAGAGCGTCCTGTCCCCCGCGCGGTGAGCGAGGCGCGAGGGACGGGGCGGAGGGAAGGCGGAGGGGAAGGCGGGGGGGGCGCGATCGAGTTGAGGAGACGTCGCAGCGACCGCGGAGGCGAATATTGTGGTGCTGTTGGTGGTGTTGATGGTGGTTATGGTGTCATGGTGGTGAAGGTGATAGTATTGCTGTTGTTGGTGGTGTTGATGGTGGTTATGGTGTCATGGTGGTGAAGGTGATAGTATTGCTGTCGTTGGTGGTGTTGATGGTGGTTATGGCATCATGGTGGTGAAGGTGATAGTATTGCTGTTGTTGGTGGTGTTGATGGTGGTTATGGCGTCATGGTGGTGATGTTTATTGTGGCGGAGAGCGGCAGAGCAGCGGTTTGTCCCCTGCGCTACAAACTCGGTGAACCGAGTCCGATTCCCACTGCTGTTGATGGTGATATTGATGGTGGCGACAATTTCAGCGACCCCACTTCCCACACGACCCCAAAACCCTCGTGACCCCACGACCCCGTGACACTCGCTTCCCCCACAAAACCCGTGACCCCCACGACCCTCGCGACCCCCCGCCCTCCAACGTACCTGGAAGGCGGAGCGGAACTCCTCGAGGTCGGCGAAGAACTCCTCGGGGGGAACCTTGGCGACGTCAAACGCGTAGAAGCGGCCCAGCTCGCGGTAGCGCCGGTCCATGCCGTCGCGCTGCTGCGCCAGCTTGCCGTGCGTCTCCAGCGCCGTACGCAGGAAGCCGTGAGCCCCAACGCCGCCAACGCCGCCATGGAGTCAAGGAGGGAACTCGCCGGGCCTTCTCTCTCGCGGTGTTACCGCACGGTGTTGCGTTGCTGTGCGGCGTTGTTGTCTTGTGGTGTTATTGGTGTTGTAGTGTGGTGTTGTTGTGCTGTGTTGTTGTGGTGGTGTTGTGTTGTGGTGGTGTTGTGTTGTTGTACGCTGTTGCGTCGTGGTGGTTGTTGCTGTTGTTGTTTTGGCGTGACAACAACAAAGACAACAACAGCGACATCGTCGGTGCAAACACCGCCCCAAATAATTCTCAGCAGAAACATTCCACCCCATTGTTGTTGCTAATGACCTGTACAGTCATTTCCTGCCTTGTTATTGACAACAACAGCAGCAGCAGCGGGCGGTAGCAGCAACACGTGGTGCACTTCCCTCCGTGACATCTGCGCGCGAGTTGACGGGATTCCACGTGGGCACTTTGCGCGCGATCCACTGACGGTCGGGGGACTCCTACCCCCCCCCCCCCGGCGGGGTTTTGTTCGAGCCGTACTTCACCATGCTGGTCACCGTGGGTGGGCTGGCGAACACCCAGAGGGGGTCGGATGCGTTCCGGCTGACTTGACCGCGGGCCCACAAATTGGTACTTGTTATTTTATCCAACCCGGAGTGAGGATGATGATGATGATGATGACAGCGAGAGCTGCACCTGTCGCCCCGTAACGGCGAGCGCAACAATAAGTAGTTAGAAGTAGTTAAAGCTCTGACATTGCACGCCGTGATGTCACTCGTGTGTTAACTCAATCCCGGCCGCGATAATTAAATAAAACATTTACATTTAAAGTTATTACCCGAGCGCTGCTGAACGTCCATTAGCAAAAGTGCATTAAGACGGAGAACGACGATCTTTGTAGACTTGCAGGCCGCCGGGGCAGCTGCTGTGGCCACAGACAAAGGATGCCCCCCCCCCCCCCCCCCCCGCGTAGCCTCAACGGACCGTCAAGTGCCGCGAGCGAGCAGCACCGGCGGTGGCGGCGTGTGGCCACCAGCACCGCATACGCTCCCCCGCCCGGCCGCCTTTGTCTTCCCAGTACCAACGTCGGAGCACGACACGAGCCGGCGCAGGGGAAGGGGCCGGCGATGGAGGTCGCTCGTGGCCGGCGACGCTCCAGCCCCCCCACCGGTCGCCACGACGACCGCGACGAGACTTCCGAGCCGCAGGCAAACTCCTCGTCGCCGTCGTCGCGAGAGAGACGTGACGGGGGCGACGAACGGGGGGGAGGCGCCCTGGGGGCTTCGATCAACCCGCCTCCTGAAGCTTCCGGGAGGCCACAAAAGCCCTGAACCGCATCATCCACGCACGAAGCACGGCAGCTGCTGCCGATACGAGGACGACGACGTTGATGCGCACGTGGGAAATTTAAAATCTCTCCGGTTAGCGCGCCGCGAACGTCGTCCCCACCCAGAACAGACGAGGGAACTCGGAACGACTCGACGGCCGATTTACGGCTACGTACGCACGCACGTAGAGAACTTCTTTCGTACCGTGCGTAGCCGACCGTGCTAATCGGAGGTGCGGGGGAAGGACGAAACAAACGAAGCAGGAGGAGGAGGCGTCATCACGGCGGCGATGAGCCGCCACTCCGCGGCCACCTGGCTCACCGATCAAACTAGAAGCTCAACTATTTATATTTGACCAGGTAAGGTGGCTTGTTATCGCGCGCAAATGTATAGCGCACGTTGATTCTAAATATGGAGTGTAAAAACTGGAGGACCCGGAGAAGAATCCACACGACCACGGGGAGAGAGAGAGACACGTAAACTCCAAATATACAGCAGCAGGGGTCAGGGCCGGGCTCGAACCCACGACCTCCTGCATACCAGGCGAGGTAGTCAACATCTCACCACAGAGAGAGAGACACGCAAACTCCAAATATACAGCAGCAGGGGTCAGGGCCGGGCTCGAACCCACGACCTCCTGCATACCAGGCGAGGGAGTTAACATCTCCTAGCCACCACGGCACCCAACAATAGGGGATGAGAGTTTGGGAGGCAGGAGGATCAGTTTGACCGGGCAAGGCCGTGCTTCTAGCGAGAGCGCAACTCAGCCATCTGCAAGTCGGCGAGCCCCGATTCCTCTTCCGCTTTAATATTGAACAACGCCAAGGTGCGTGCCGGCGAAGGTGGCTGAAATTCGGGCTCGGAATAAGTCGGCAGATTCCCTGTCCCCCCCGCCCCCCGGGGCCAAACTGCCAGTGGGGGGGGGGGGCAACATCTGGCCGTGGTTGTGCGGCTGAGGTTTGCGAGCCGAGGGGAGCTCCGTTCGCCCCCCCCCCCACGCCCTTCCTCTGCGGACTCTCGCTCGGCCCGCGATGGACGGCGCAGGAAGGCGAGCGCCAGGATGGACCGCGACAAAACACAATAGCACGGCCGCCCCCAACCACCCATCCACTCACTCGGTTCGCCAGCACCACCCCCACGGGAGTTGAACAGAAACCCCCACCACCCAACCGAGCGGGGCGCCCCACCCCCCCCCAGCCTCATTGTCAATCCACTGCTGGATGGATGGGGGCCCTCCCCCCGCTCGTGTGTGGGTCATTGTTTGACCAAGGTCGGCATGCTCGGTCAACCCCACGGCGACTCGTTTCTTCATAGAAGTGTTTTTTTGTGTTTAGTGTTGTTGTCCTTCCAACGCCGCACCTCCGGTTAGCACGGTTGGCTACGTACGGTGCGAAAGAAGTTCAATGTACACACACACACACTACCCATAGACTCAACACTACCCATAGACTCAACACTGCCCATAGACTCAACACTACCCATAGACTCAACACTACCCATAGACTCAACACTACCCATAGACTCAACACTGCCCATAGACTCAACACTGCCCATAGACTCAACACTGCCCATAGACTCAACAGTGCCCTTAGACTAACACTGCCCATAGACTCAACACTGCCCAGAGACTCAACACTGCCCATAGACTCAACACTTAAACTAACACTGCCCATAGACTCAACACTGCCCTTAGACTAACACTGCCCATAGACTCAACACTACCCATAGACTCAACACTACCCATAGACTCAACACTGCCCATAGACTCAACACTACCCATAGACTCAACACTACCCATAGACTCAACACTACCCATAGACTCAACACTGCCCATAGACTCAACACTGCCCAGAGACTCAACACTGCCCATAGACTCAACACTGCCCATAGACTCAACACTGCCTTTAAACTAACACTGCCCATAGACTCAACAGTGCCCTTAGACTAACACTTGCCCATAGACTCAACACTGCCCAGAGACTCAACACTGCCCATAGACTCAACACTGCCCAGAGACTCAACACTGCCCATAGACTCAACACTGTCCATAGACTCAACACTGCCCATAGACTCAACAGTGCACCTAGACTCAGCACTGCCCATAGACTCAACACTGCCCATAGACTCAACACTACCCATAGACTCAGCACTGCCCATAGACTCAACACTGCCCTTAGACTCAACACTGCACCTAGACTCAGCACTGCCCATAGACTCAACACTGCCCATAGACTCAACACTGCCCATAGACTCAACACTGCCCATAGACTCAACAGTGCCCTTAGACTAACACTGCCCATAGACTCAACACTGCCCATAGACTCAACACTACCCATAGACTCAACACTACCCATAGACTCAGCACTGCCCAGAGACTCAAAACTGCCCAGACTCAAAACTGCCCATAGACTCAACACTGCCCATAGACTCAACACTGCCCAGCGACTCAACACTGCCCATAGACTCAACACTGCCCATAGACTCAACACTGCCCATAGACTCAACAGTGCCCTTAGACTAACACTGCCCATAGACTCAACACTGCCCATAGACTCAACACTGCCCAGAGACTCAAAACTGCCCATAGACTCAACACTGCCCATAGACTCAACACTGCCCACAGACTCAACACTGCCCACAGACTCAACACTGCCCATAGACTCAACACTGCCCATAGACTCAACACTGCCCATAGACTCAACAGTGCCCTTAGACTAACACTGCCCATAGACTCAACACTGCCCAAAGACTCAGCACTGCCCATAGACTCAACACTGCACCTAGACTCAGCACTGCCCATAGACTCAACACTGCCCATAGACTCAACACTGCCCATAGACTCAACACTGCCCATAGACTCAACACTGCCCATAGATTCAACACTGCCCATAGACTCAACACTGCACCTCCGCTTAGCACGGTTGGCTACATACGGTGAGAAAAGTTAAACACAAATGCACCCACGTCTGTCCCGTGACCTCCTGCCAGCAGCGAGCATTCCACACTTCACGTGACCTCAACGAGCACCTAGCCTGGCACAGACATCACAGTCGCTTAGTAGCGAACGGGCGGCCGTTGTCGTTGACTAGAATTGATGATGCTGGTCGGTGCGAGGCAGGGAGCGGAGCAGTACAGTACAACAATGGATTTTTTCTGCACTGCCTCCCACGTAGCCCGACAGCACCACGTGACGATGAGCCGCTTGGGGCGTGGTGCCATCCCGGCTCGTCGCCGCTTAGCTTCCTGGGTCATACAGGAGGGCCCCTGTCGGTACCGTTAACCGTCGGCCATCGTCTATCCACTGCTGGATGAAGGCCGCTCCACTCGCACGCGCGCACACGTGGGCCGACCTCGTCACCGCTCCATCTCCGTGGGGAGGGGGGGGGGGATCCCCCACGTGGAAGTGTGCGCCACTCCCTGGATCAGACGGCGAAACAATTCACCCACCCCCACCCCCCCCCCCCCCGTGCCCACCCCCAACGGCGCCCCCCCCCCCCTCCCCAGCAACCGCACGACCCGTCGCGATTCTGTGGGGGCGGAATCGCGATGCCATTCACGGAACCGATCCCATCGGCGCCGTCTCGTGTGGCCATCGGGTCTCCTTCGCCTTGTCGGCCTCAAAGTAAAACAATCGCATCTCGTTCGATTGTATAAAACTTTACCGGTCGTCCGGGCCG